GGGGGGCTCTTTGTTCCTAATTTCCCCCTCCCCTAAAATGGATCGATATTTCCCAAACTCTTGTTTATTTGTATAAATAGATGCTAATTTATGCTCCCGCCGTCTTCCTCCTTGTACATAAAAGAACAACTCCTTGTAAATAGGCGTTAGGAAGTGACGCTGTGCGCGTGACCTGCTGTGCTGTGGCTGTGTTGGTGCATTTTTATTTTTATTAATTATTATTATTATTATTAATAATTTTTTTTCTCTCTCAGTGTGGTAACCTTGCTTGTGAATATCACTTTTCCAAAAATCTATTATTTAAAAGTTAAAAAAAAAATAAAAATATGATTATACATAAGCGAGGTCAAAGCGAAACAAACTGTAGCAAATTAGCTCAGATTTGGGGATGGGGAATCTTTGTAAAGCCCCCCCCACCCAGTTTTGGCTCGTGGAAGGGGGGGGGTTTTGCTAATTTGCTACAGGGTGTTGGGCTCCTCGTGTGTTCCTGTAGTACTGTGCTTCTGTGGAGACTGTGAATAAGTGGATTTTTCCTGTAGCGATGACAGACCTGGAGGTCTTGCCACCCTCTTATTTATTTTTTTTCCTCTCAGAGCGTTGTGTCTTTTATTTTACAGAATTTCCCTCTTCCCAAACCCTCCAGAAATCATCTTTCCCTTCTTTCCCTTTTTTTTTTTTGTGAAGTTTACTTATGGAAGAGTTACACTGTACTGTACAAATGTCAAAAGTGTCAAAAAAAACAAAAAAACACAAAAAAGAGTCCAATTTCCTAAAAATCACTGTATTAAAGAAATGTTGTGAAGAAATAAATCAATGCTGATCACTGGTTCCTGGAGATCATTACAGTGGGATGGTCCCTCTGCTCCATGTCCATAACTTTGACCCAGTGCCATCCAGCTCGTTACTGGAGAGAAGCAAAACTCATCTGGTTTCTTAATTAACATTCACTAAATGGCTCCCACCATGGTGCAGCAGCCAGGGAGGAGGGATGGTCCCACCTTGGGGGTGTGTGGACAGAGTGTAAATAAGGCACAGCTTTAGAAAACAATAATAATAATAATAAAATATCACATTTAGATGATTTTTATCCATGCTGGATTTAAATAAATTCCCAGGTGATGGAGTGAGAGTCGGTGGGGTTGGGATCAGGGTGGAGCTGTGGTTCAAATCTTGCCTGAAGAAGCCTCAGCCGCCTCCGTGTCGATGCCGAACCCGGCGGCGAGCGGGTGGCTGCTATTTTTATGACAATTGGGTGGCTGTGACCCAGCTGAGCCCACGGGTGGGTGTGAGGTGGAGGGAAAAGGAGCTGTGGCAGCGGGTGCGGAGGAGCCGAGTGACTCGTCCCTTCAGCTCAGAGACAAAATCAAAAGGGAAAGGGAAAAAGCGCTGAGGAGCCGCATCCCTCAGCCCAAGCAGGAAGGGACCGGAGGTGCTGGCTCTGCAGGAGAGCAAAGGAGGGTGTTGAGGGGAGCAAGGGACCAGCCTTGCCCTGGAGAAGGGGGAAAAAAACCACCTGGGAGAGTGCTGGGGACCTTCCCCAGGGTGTTGAGGGGAGCAAGGGACCAGCCTTGCCCTGGAGAAGGGGGAAAAAAACCACCTGGGAGAGTGCTGGGGACCTTCCCCAGGGTGTTGAGGGGAGCAAGGGACCAACCCTAACCTGGAGAAGGGGAAAAAACCCCCAAAACCTGGATGTTGGCGAGGGGAGAGCACTGAGGACCTTCTCCAGGGTGTTGAGGGGAGCAAGGGACCAGCCTTGCCCTGGAGAAGGGGAAAAAAAAAACACCTGGGGGAGTGCTGGGGACCTTCCCCAGGGTGTTGAGGGGAGCAAGGGACCAGCCTTGCCCTGGAGAAGGGGAAAAAAAACCACCTGGGAGAGCGCTGAGGACCTTCCCTGGGGTGCTGAAGGCAAAGCGGAGCCGTGGCAGCTCCTCCACGCCCCGGCAGCCCGGGTTCTGTGGATAAATAGGAAAAAATAAACGGGCTTTACAGGCTGTGACACGTTAAAAACACCCAAACTCCTGGTCACCATCAGCAGATGAGTTAATTAAGACCAGCGTGGGCTGCAGCGGGCGGCTGCGGTGATCTCTGCCCATCACAGTTGGGTGGATTGAGCCGCGTTCACCTCGATGACCAGAAAACCTCTCGCTGCGAGCAGGAGCCTCCAAAAACATCACAGTCACCCCGAGCAGCTGCTGCTTTACGTCCCCACACCGCGTTGGTTCTCAGGTGATGGTGAGTCTTGCTCAGCACCAGGCTAAAAATGAAGAGAAAACGAGGCACATTCAGCATGAGCCCGGCTGGACCTCTGCAGGGAGGCACCGTGGTGCCGGCGCTTACCCGGTGCTTGAGGTAGGAGATGTAGGTGTCCCAGCCCAGCGTGATCACGTTGATGTAAATCACCCGGTACTTGGGTGGGACGAAGAGGAAATTAATGAGCTGAGCGGGCGGCCAGATGCACCAGTCAGCCTGTGGAGAGCAAGGAGAATCATAGAATCCCAGACTGGTTTGGGTGGGA